GTGTGTGTGTGTGTGTGTGTGTGTGTGTGTGTGTGTGTGTGTGTGTGTGTGTGTGTGGAAGCCTGTGATGATGCAACAATCCAGCTGATATTTGGTGAATGATGTAATTTTCTGCATCTAAAAGCATCTGAACAAACAACTTCTGAAATTAATTCCCTCGATTTCACCGACCTGATGACTCGGTCGACTCCTGTGACTTTGAAGGCTCTGAAATATGAACATGAAGATACAGACTCGTTAATGAGCAAGAAAATAATAATATAATGTAATAAATAATATCTTACCTGTCACAGATTGCTCTTTGAATGGCCTAATTTTAAAGCAAAAAAGTTTGTTTCCAAACAGATTTTTGAGCCAATATCAAACAAATCAGCTTTAATCAAATAATAAATTYTAGCTTTAAGGTTACATGATGCATGCTAAAGCTAGCTGCCACAACCATAGCATTCTTTGTAAAAATTGATGTAACGAGAAACTGATATTAAAATAAATGTTTATAGAATAGTATTTGCATCAACAATGCTTAATATTTGGGCACTTGAGTTGTTTTATGATGGCTTCTTCAAGCTGAGGCTCTTCAAAGAGTCATCTGTGACAGGTAAGATGTTGATTGTTCATAATGTTGCACACAAAACTCCGCTTTAAAATTTTATTTAAAAAACCTTCTGGGTATCAGCAGTAAAATGAGGTCTACTGATCATAATGCTAATTACTTCTGAATATATTTAAAATATACAGAAAAAACATAAACAGTAGATTAAAAACACGTTTCTTCTGTGAAAAAATATATTATGACAGAAAAGTAAGAAGTTGTGTATTTATGATCCCGTATTTTGCCTTTGCTGTTTCTATTTGGGTTTATATTTTGTATGTAGTGGGATTAGTTTACAAACTCTGAGAATTGTATTTTAAAAACCTTTTATCTCACCTTCAGTGCTCTTTGTCATAAAAGCGTGGATTCCAAAATGTCCTGAAAAAACATCGGGACAAAAATAARTCATCATATAAAGTAAAACCAGAAGCAGAAAGACAATGATGTCCTTTCATTAAAGYATTCATTAAAACACCAAATGATTAGACCTGCTGTGTTGTTACCTGGCTCAGCTGTTGGATGTTCCTCTGTAGGAAACAAGAAAAAAATTAATTAATTAAGAACTCAACATACTTAAAATAAAATAAAATGTAATTGTTCTGTTTAGTTACCTGACTCAACCGTTGAAGGTTCTGGATGGTGTCCTCCTACATCAAACAAGTCATTTAATGAATAAAAATATAAATAACAACCTGCTACTGTTTTCAGTGATGTGAGGGTGTGAAGGTTTACCATTCAGGTGTTCCAGCAGAGCTGCAGCTCCGTCTACAAAAGAATAAAAACAAAATAAATGTCGTTTTTGTTTAAACAGTTTTAATGCAAACAGCAGAAATCTGCACTGCAATAACTCATTCAGCCTGTAGGGGGCGCGCGCTGCTCATCACTGTCAATTAAAGGTCAGGTTCGATCCATTCTGCTCCCTGATTGTCTTTAAACGCTTCAGAATTATTTAACTAGGTGCTAATAATAAACAACTTAAACGGACTTCAAATTATGTTAAATGTATTTAAAACAAAAATATTTACCAGCTTTGAATCCAACTGCTGTAAGACAAAGAAAGAAAGAAAGAATGAAAGAAAGAAAGAAAGAAAGAAAGAAAGAAAGAAAGAAAGAAAGAAAGAAAGAAACTTTACCATCTATTTTTATTAGTTATATTTGTGTTCATTGTTTATTTTAGCCATCTTTTGTTTCAAAACCTCAAAAACAACATTAAAAACACAATATTGTTACATGAAAGTGAAAAAATGTAAAATATCTATTATTGTATTAGAATATTATTTTACAAAACATCACCCAAACAATGTATTTATTTGGATTTATATATTTGTTGCAGTCATATGGATGTTCCACAGGTATTACAGGTCTTTAGTTATAAAGTAAATACTATAAGGTGGTACTGATGATGATGATGATTATGATGATGATGATGATGATGATGATGTCATTGCTTACTTGGGACTGGAGCTGCAAACGAAACAGCAGCGAGGCCACACAGCAACAACACAACACACCTGGAGACAGAAAAACAAATAAATCAGCAGGTTTTCAAAGCAAAAAGCTGATTTGACTGCAGCTTGTTTGGAAGGTTTGCATTTTTCTTTGAGGAATTTTTTCCCCCCATACACATTGACACAACTGATAATGTCCTAAATATAAAGAAAATTTAGATTTTTAAAACATGGATAAGAAAATAAACCCTGGTTTAAAGAAATATTGCATAAAACTGCAAGTATTTGAGGTCATCTCTTCGCTTTCGTTTTATCTAAAAATGCAAACAAGTAAATGAAACAAATTTTGTTTAATGAAACTCAGGTGTGTTCAGGGACGGCTGGGAGAAACCGCTCTCCAACCTGAAGAGTGACTGAGTCTTTGTGCTTTCCTACAGAACAGAAAAAAAAAACCCACAAAGCGCCTCTTCTTTTCCAACATATGGAGAGAAACGAGCTGCAACAGAAAACCAGCTCGCATCTTCAAAGAGCTGGAAGTGCTTTTAGCTTCATTGTCAGAGTTCAGCTGCTTTTTTTCCCCTTCTTCTTCTTCCAGGAGACACTGAAGTCCTTAAATGTGTTTAGTTCAAAGCTTTGAATGCAGAACCTTTGCATTAAAATAAACAGAAATAAAAAGATTCAAAAGAAAAGATAAAAAAGTTGTGTCACTTTTGCAGCTTTTCACTACAACTAAAACCTTTTCATTGTTACAATCAGATAAATGAAAAAAAAGCAACAAATGAATGACTGAAACAGTGAGTCATTCACTGAGCAGCACAAAAATGTCCTGTCTAAGAACAAAGCAGCACAAAAGTTCCCACAGGCCTTAATCTGTGWTAATCTGAAGCGTGCGGTGAGTCTGAACAATGAGGCGCTCACTCACCCTTGTTGCATCTTGTTTGTTTGTTTGTTTTCAGCAGGAAGTCGTGAGGAGGAAACGTCAGCGTTTGCTGAAACTCTGAACTGAGGTTGAAGCAGAGCAGCGGCGCTTTTATACTCTCCTCCTCCTCCCCCTCCTCCCCTCCACCCCCCCACCATCACCTGAGTGTCTGTCATCTAATCCACTTTAAACACAATGATGTAACCCGATTACTATAAAAGAAATAATTTAAAAAAAGAGAACAAAACCGGGTTCTACGGTGTCGTCACATTGTTTGGATCGAGTACACCTTGGGCTAAATTTAAATTTTGGGTCACAATATTGACAACAGTATTAACTGGGCACATTCTATTTTTTTATTTGTCCAACAGAAATGCTTTTAAAGGGAAGATTTTAACAAGAAAATGTCAGAAAACAACAATAACATTATTAGTGACAGCCTACGTCAAATATCCTGCATCATATTTATTAAAAAGAAACAAAACGTTCTCATTTTTAAACACATTCTCAGCACTAACAACTTGGCCAAATATTTGTTTGCAAATTTTGCCACCTCCTRATTGGAGGTATGTTTKTCTGTTAGCAAAATATCCCATGAATCTTTGGAAGGAGACAATAACTGATGGACAACTTTAAAACAGCTGTAATTMAAGCAGTTTTGTGGAGCTTGATGTGGTAGTAGCTGAGAGTCACTCATGACACAAACTTTGATGTTCTGGAGAAGATCAAACATTACTCGATCGACTAAAACGGCTRCAGTGTTGTCATTTCTCAACATGAGATGATTGTAAACTATTAATTAGAAAACCAAAGGAGTGCCAGATGTTTCATCTTTAAATGTTACTTTTGTATTTTTTTATTTTTCACATCACAATCAGCTTTATTGCTCCATTTTCYCCTCACTGAACAAAGAAACAACAATAGAAAATCTATTTATTATTTGACACAATTTGGATTTTTTTTGCAGCCAGCAGAGGGCCCAAAGCCAAGCGTTCACGTGACTGAGGTCAAACGTGATGATATGTTCAACTATTTCAGTGTTTTCTTACATTTAGGCAACATACTGTTTTAAAAAGACCAAAAAATTTGAAGACATGTTGACAGTAGTTCATGGAATAAAATAACAAGAAAAAACAAAGAAAGAAGAAGAAGAAGAAGAAACAAACTAAAAAAAGACTAAAAATGTATTGGCAAATTTATGTCATAYTAGACCTTTCCTTATTTTACAGGAGGTTAAAATATGGTTAAATATATGCAGGCTATGATTTTATCTCATATATAGCWTTATTTTATGACCTGATCACAAACAGCAGCAAATGTGCTCAAGCTTATCACATACGTACATCGGAACTACAAGATCATAGAGTTTACATTTTTATTTAAATCTTGATCCTCCATCATTAAACTCTTTATCCAGAAGCTAAAAACCAGATCTCAGTCTAAAGGTGACATCAGTTTGAGCAGTGGTCCCCAAACTACGGCCCGCGGGCCGGATTCGGCCTGCCTCCCCATTTGGTCCGGCCCCCAGAACAATACCAGAGAGCATTTAGGTTTTTTCATATATGTGTATTTATATTTGATTATAAAGTTGGACTCTTGCAATAAAATGTTCCTTAGTTATGAACTATTTTCATTATTAACTATTATTAGTAATTATTTCATACATACACGCATATAACGTGACATTCTGTTCCACC